GTACTTAGTAAAAAGTACAGTGTGGATTAGATAATACAGAGTGGAACAGATACCTTTTAGTGAGTACAGTAGTATATCTAACCAGAGTGGAACAGATAGCTTTTAGTGAGTACAGTTGGATATATAATCAGAGTGGAACAGATACCTTTTAGTGAATAGAGAAGTATATTTAACCAGAGTGGAAAGGAAACCTTTAGTGTGTAGAATAGGATATATAACCAGAGTGGAACAGATAGCTTTCAGTGAGTACAGTAGGATATATACCAGAGTGGAACAGATACCTTTTAGTGAGTACAGTAGGATATCTAATCAAGTGGAACAGATACATTTTAGTGAGTACATTTAGTTATCTAATCAGAGTGGAACAGTTACCTTTTAGTGATACAGTAGGATGTCTAACCTGAGTGGAACAGATACCTTTATGAGTACAGTAGCATTTCTAACCAGAGTTGAAAGGAAACCTTTAGTGAGTACAGTATGATATCTAACCAGAGTGGAACAGATACATTTAGTAAGTGCAGTAGGATATCTAACCAGAGTGGAACAGATAGCTTTTAGTGAGTACAGTAGGATATCTAATCACAGTGGAACAGATAGCTTTTAGTCAGTACAGTAGGATATCTAACCAAGTAGAATAGTTTACCTTATAGTAAATATATAATAAAACGCAATAATAATAACAGTAGTAGTAATAATAATAATAATAATAATAATAGTAATAATACAATAACTAATAATATTTTTTATAATAATGATGTCAACAGCACAACTTCATAAAGAAGTTTCCCACTTCCTCTTTTGATATTTACTAGAGAAATTAGTAAGTTAGAAAAAATATTAAGTACTGTATAAAATTCATATTTTTATTTACCTTTATTTAACTAGGCAAGTGAGTTAAGAAGAAATTCTCATTTACTTAACAGCCCCCCTACCCCGTCCAAACCCTACCCTAACGACAATGGCCAATTGTGCACTCCCCTATGGACTCCCCAATCACAGCCGGTCTGTGATACAGTCCGGGATCGAACCGGCGTCTCTAGTGACACCTCTTAACTGAGATGCAGTGCCTTAGACCTCTGCTCCACTCGGAGCCCCTAACGTTTCGTTACAATCTTCAGATATTTTAGTTAGACTCATCTGTCTTCTGAAATCTATCAGATCCAAACAGGTACTTCATGTAAATTGTATTTCTTAAAGACAGTACGTTTCTTTTCAGGAACTGAAAGAGAGAACCGTAAAAACAGGTAAAAATAGACTTTCACAAGCTGTCTAACATACAGTGTGACTGTGCTGTACAAACAGGATGCTGCTCCTCGAACATATGCAGACATCATTTGTGATGGTCAGAGAACACGTTGCAGCTCTGCATTAATTTCTTCATTGACTGTGGGACATTTTATTATTTATTTACTTTTGGAACCAAACTAAACATTAAATATTTATTCCTGTATCCTTGAGATACAATTCATCTGGAGGGTGAAAGGGCAGAATATTGGACAACTGAAAGTTCGTACTGCTGTTAGTTACACTGGGCGAAAAGGAACCAATACTGTACAGTAACAGGCGAATAAGTAGAAGAGACGTCCAATGCTGGTTTTGGCATCATTTGACGCGTGTTAACATGGTGGAGGTCAGAACCAACGTCTAAGCAGATATCAACCGTTGAACCTAAACTAAAATTCCTGACAATTATCTCAGTAGATATATGGGACTGACTCAGGAGAGATGAAGGTATGTTTCCCCCCCTAACATTCGCGTGTTCCTGTGGATTCCGAGTTGCTAAAGCGGAGTGGGATGCAATACCCATGATGGCCAACCTGTTCTGAGCATTGTGTTAGGACTGGGTGAGACTGTTATGACCACCTGGACGCAAATTCAGCACCTACATAGCGTCACATCATGTGAAAGCTAACATTACAAAACACTAAGCTGCCGGTTTTGAAGATGTAATAACCAAGGCAATCAGGAGGAAGATCGTCACTTGACTGGGTTCCCAAGTCCCGCCTAATGGATGGCATGGACGGCTCTGGCATAACTATGAACATGGCGGAACAATTGTCAGCCTTCCGCCTCCTGTTTTGTCGGGTCCGGGGTGCCTCTAGAGTCATCTGTGTTCCCCTCGTGAACCTTGGGTAAGGTTCTTCGCCTCGGGTGAAAAATGGATCCTACTTAGCTTGATCCAGTTCACCTGTGCCTTGTTTTCCCCCCTTGGGAATGTATTTTGTAAGGCTTGTGTTTTTCCCCTTGTTTCTACACTTATGTTATTAGTGATTCCTTTCTATGTGTCGTCCTGCTTTGTTTCCAACACCGTGGTCCCTTTCCAAGTAAGGTGGGGGGTGTTCTAAAGGAGTTATCTTTAGTTTGTTTTTCTCACCCTCGGGGAAGTAATATTTTTGTTGTGTTTGTCGAAGATCCTGTTTTGGTGCCCCATACCATCGTTTCTGAGAAGAAAAGTTTTGGGTGTGGACTATTTGTGAATGGCGAAGAACCGTTTGTTTGTTTATATGGAAAGGGGTCTAGGCTGTGCCTTGGAGGTATTGCCTGGTGATGTGTTGATCATCTTTGGGATCGTCCTGGACACGGGACCGGTCCTCTGTGCAGTAGGGGTATTACCCCAAAGCTGCATCCACATCTAGAGACCGGGGAGGTAGGGTCTACGCACGGCTTTGGTTTGTCATAAAAAACCAAGTCCTATCAGTGGACCCGAACTATGGAGGGCACTACAAAATGGGGAGTTCCCATGACCGGTGTTGGTTTAAAGTCGGGGGTGGAGGGGTACAACGGTCGACATGAGATTCTTTCCACGCATGAATCCGGTTCTCGGGGGAAGAAAAGCGCGACGAATGAGGGGGGAGCTGATGGCTGATACATTCTCAACATCCTGGCCGGAAAATGATTCGGGGTTTTCCGCTTCACCATTCTCTTGTAAAGAACGCCTCCTTGGTCCTCGATCCATCCCTCGCCCCAGGTCACCTCCAGTTACTACATACCTTCTCTGGTGGTGGAGGCGTAGACCCCGTAACGTACAAGGCCCCAGAGATCCGCAGAACCCTTTTTCTGGGGGAAAAACCGACGCTGCTTGCCAGGGATTCCTCACCCCATGCTCCCTCACCTTCGAGCGCCAATCCTCAAGTTTTTCCCACAGCCCCGTTCCAAGATTGCCTACATCATGTACGCCTTCTATTCAGACAGGGAAGGGCGCTGCGCCTGGCCGGGGCTGCGGTGTTGTGCCGTCCCAGGAGGCCTGTTGTGTCAGTGTACCCAGCTGAAGGGGGATGGGGTTTAGAAAGCGGGATTGGCAAGCTGAAGGGATTGTTCGATCCATCTTTCAGTGGTGGCGAGACGGCAGTGTCGCAAGCGTGCCGGGGCTAGCATGGGGGTCCGGTCTAGTCTTCCGTCAGGCTCCCGAGCACGTGTCAGCTTTCCCATTGATTGGGTTCGAATGAGAAGTGGACCTTAAGGCGAGGGCAAGGAGCGGTATGTGTTAAGTGGTGGATTGAATCGCTTGTATGTGGGGTCTGCTTTCAGGAGGGGTTAACTGAGCCCCTTCCACAGGGGTTGATTTATGACCACCACGTATAACCAGACAAAATTGGGGGAATGCTCTAGTCCCTCATAGCGGCGGTGTGGCCATCCGCAACTGGACAGGAGTCGGGGTGCTAAGGGGAGAGCGGAGATGCGGAAGCTCGCGGCCAGTGGTCAATCAATTCCCAAGTTCCTCGAAAAAGCGGTGCTTTTTTCTCCATTAAATTTTGGACTGGGGCTGTTGCAGTTTCAGAACTTCCCCGGCGGTGCCTGGTACCTGCATCCAGGATTCCCCCGGATAGCATAATGCAGTTAGCCCGTTCCAATGCTTTCTCGCATGGAAATATGTGAAGCGGGTCAAGAGTGGGGGAGGGAGCGGTGCTTTAAAAGTGGCGGAAGGAGATCTCACTAGTGCGGTTTGGGCCGGAGCCACGTTCCGAATCGCACTTGCGCACCGGTGAATGTTTGCAGGGAAACGGGCCAGTCCCCGGCGCGGGGGCCATGGGCGGTTACAGATGGAGGCTGTGTGTAGATGGGGGAGAAATGGTAGAGCTGCCTCGGCGTGAGCTAAAACGAAAAAAAAAAAGCTGTCGCTGGTCATTCCAGCACACATGTCGCTTGGAGGGGGCCACAGCAATGCGGGTGTCCATCTGGAATGATCGCTTCGGGTTGATCCTCCGTTGTATCGCGAGGCGGAAGAGGGGGGGTCAGGTGATTGTCCGGGGTGGGATGAATACGCTGATGGCTGTCATTAACGGGTGTAATGAAAAATGCGCCTGACCAACTCCGTGTGCCTGCATCCGGCCAGCAGTACAGCGTGTGAGATGGATCGGAGAGCCGTCTGAAGAGGGCGGGCAGTGAAATGATTACCGAAAAACCGATAAGCGATCATCCCTGCGACTTTACCATCTCTTCATGCACCCAGCAGGATGAAACCTTCTAATCTCATTGACTCTGCCCTGTATCCTATTTCCTGGGTCACCCTTGGCTATGCAACATAATCCGCCAGGTCGAGGGCTGGGCCTTCTGGGGCAAGTGAACCGGGATTCTAAGCTGGTGTCCGCATGCTTGCCAGGAGCGTCACCTGTGCATGCTTCAGATTCCAAAACTCAGCGCGCCTAAAGTACCTGGGCGTTTCTATAGGGTCTGGGTGAAAGTCTCCCAAGTAGGTCCCCGATGGGGTTTACCAATTCGGTGTTCAAGGTGGCTGTGTGTTCAGGGGGCAAGACAAGGCGCCGTGGCGTACTTCGGCTTAGGCGCAGCGCGCGTCAAATCAAGAGAACGTATGACTGTGGGCCGCGTTGATCTATCCTGGGTGACTGCCGGCTCACTATGGAGTCGGGAAGATCGTGTGTTCCATTTGTCTCCCGGAAAACACGAGCACAGGGGCGGGGCTATGGGACACCTACATTAAGGAGGTGTCCAGAGTTGGCATGGACCAAGCGCTCAAAACCAATGGGAGCCTCTAGCTAAGTGCGGCTTCACCTGCTGTGGTACGTGGCGTTACTTGTGTTGTGGTATAAAAGAAGGACGGTGGGTCTGTTAGGTGGCCTTGTAATTGGGTTCCCGGGGACTCAAGCAAGATGCCAAGCGTGGGTTCGGAATCGATATCCTCTTCCTCTCATAATGCGCAAGCTGCGGTGTTTCGGAGCGGATGTGCTTCAAGGGCGGATAAAATGGCGGAAGATGGGGCCAACATTGTGGTTTCTAACTGTGGATCTCCTAAATGCGTACCATCGGAGCGTGTTGCGGAATATCCGGCACAGGTGAGACTAATGGAAGACGGGGCGGGGGTTCAACACGGCCCTCGCAGGGGGCACTATGAATCGTTTTGGTGGGACCCGGTAGATCGGAGGAGAGGGGGGGGAGGAGGGGGGGGGGAAGGGCCCTGCGACAATGCCCGGAGAATAAAGAGAAACGCCCAACCAGATACTTCGCACCGGGCTGGATTAATGAATGTTTCTTACCGGATAGTTAACTTAATCTGTGCGGTCTTCGGGGTACCGTATGACCTGTCCTCAGTCGTTGGCGTCGGGTCACTGAGAGGTTAGCATGAGGGCATGTTAGGGACGCGGGGGTTCTGCCAAGAGGCTCCTAGTGACAATCGGGGGCCTCATAGGTTAAACCTAGAAGTGTGAATTTTGCGCGTTATGTCCTCAGACTCCAGTGTTGCATCGGGGTTTGTAAATTGTGGTGGGAACACTGGAAGGGGAGGGGGGGGAAAAAGGAAGAGAAAAAGGAGAAAACAGTGGGGGGGGGAGCAAAATCAACAAAACGAGGCAGCCTAGAGATGGAATCCCCAATGAAAAAGTTCTGTAAGCTGGGTCCGCCTCTGGCCCACAGCCGTGACCAGGAAACGGGGTCAAGGGAGTTCAACGTTTCATTGTGCTTTTCTAACTTCTATCGGAAAGTTCATCAATGAATGTTCAGCTCAGTGGTGAGCGCCCCTTGACGGGAGCTCTGAAATACCAATGGCGGGGTGAGGTAGCGAAGGAAAGGTTCGGGTACGTGGTGTAGGTTCGGCTGGAACGTGGCGTCGGGAACCTATCTAGGTGTCTCAAGCGCGGGGGACGTCTGGAAGAAGGGTCACGTCTTGACTGCGCGTATTCTGGGTGACTCCTGACCCAGAAAACCTTTCATTTGTGGAGGTGTACGCCGTGCAGTAGGGGTGGGGGTGTGGAGGGCGCGTTACCCTGTCACAGGGGTGAGTGGTGTGAGGATGGTAGATAATGATGGAAGAAGAGGGCCCTTTAGTGACCTCATTTCGTCGCCAGTGGGGCCTGTCTGAGGCCGAGCGCAACTACCAAAGGGGGTGTGGGGGGGGGGGGATGGCGCTAGAGTTGCCTTGCAGTTAAAACTTGCTTTGTGTCTAAGAGTGGACGCCATTGCTATGAGTTTTCTCAGCACCGCGAAGTGAGCCAGGTTGCATCAACATACCACAAGACCCTTGAATATCTCCAAACCGGCTTAGGGGGCGGGGAAATGAACCCATCGGCAAGCACGATGGTAACGGCCGTTGTGGGCTGGTAATTCGGATTCATGGGTCCTCCTGTGCTAACCGCCCGGTTGCACCAAGGGAACGTCAGGCCGGATGCCCTGGTACTCAGAGCCTTGGTGTCTCACCGAGTGTAAACAAGAGAATCCCTTTGCAACATCGATTATTCCGAGGAAAATGCTAGGTAGTCGTCGCACCGTCTTAACATAGGGAACTAGAAAGAGGGGTAAGCGAGAAGCCCTTGTACCATTAGCCCTAATCCGAGTGGGCTGTGTCGGGAACAGTGGGGCCGGGTGGGTCCGTGTACTTCGCTCTCGGTCTGTGTCGTGGGGGAAAAGAGGAAAGCCCCAAGCGTCTGTGCAGTGGGGTCATGATGTGCGGGCGCCTGACAAGGGTGCCTCCATGCAGTGTGCTCGCGACACTGAATTCCTCGCGACTGCAGTTTGTGGGGGCCGTCCATCAAGAGAAGGACGGTGCGGTCCTATGTTTAGGCCTGCCCGGTGTGCACCCAGGAAAGGGATCGTAGGCGCCCAGCGACCAACCGGAGGGACTGAAAGGGGGCTGTACCGGTCCAGTATCCCTGTACTCTATCCTCCCTCGTAATCGGGGGTGCACCTGTGTCACACCTTTCTCTGGACTTTGTTACGGGAGGAGCTGGTGGGGTCCTCCATGGCGCGGGCAGGAGCACCACCAAAGGGGTCAATCCTGTAGATCGGTTCCGGTTGGTCTAAGGCTATGCTGCCCGTTTTTATCCCCTGCCCAAGCGCCCTCGGCTAGGAGACCGCTGAGCTCCTCATGAACCATGTCCTTCCGATATTTGGTGCATTCCCGCTGACGTGTGGTCTCTGACCGAGTCCCCAATTCGTCGAGTCGCCGGTTGTGTGGTGGTGGTGCCTTCTGCAGGCTTCGTTGGGCCCAGCCAGCCCTAATCGTCAGTGGTTGCCATCCAGGGGTAGGGTCCTAATGGCCAAAACAGAACGAGATTAAGTCAGATAAGGAGAGAAGGGAGTCTGGACTAAGACCGGACCCTGCGGTGTATGGCGGAAACCAGTAATGGGGGCCCAACGTCTTGGGCCACCTATTCGAGTGGTTGGGCTGAATATGCGGCCCAACGTCCTCCAGTCTCAGCAACACCGGATTGATCCCCCCTTCGAATAGTGGTCCATTCGGTTTACACCCTCCATTATTTCAGAAGAATAGGCGCAAAAGTTGGTTGTTCCCTGCAGGCCCAGGGGGGGGCGCTTTGTCCACCGCTGTAGGCGGAACCTGAATAAGGGGGGGGAAGGGGGCCATGTGTTCCTTCCTTCGGACCTCCCAAGTACCAAATTCAGAACCTAATCGACAGGAAATCGACAGGCCGGGAAGCCGGACGGCCACCTAGTAATGTCACGAGCTGATTCCATAGATTTTGGTTGTGGGCCCGACTAAGAAGCCTGACCAAAACTCCGTGGTCGAATCCAAGAAGCGTGGTCCCATATTACATGCGCCCTTTCCAATTCCGGGGTCACGCATTGCTGAGAAAAGTGTTTAAGCCCTGTTCGTATCGTTTTGTTCTGGCTCGCTCCCCTTGAGTTAACCCCACTTTCCCATGTTTCACTCCTTAAAAAACCCCTGTCTTGTCCCTTCTCCTGTTGCCCCCACTCCGACCCCCGCCACAGAGGGGGGGGGGGGGGGGGGTCCCAAGTATCAGTTGACGGCCAGCCAGGCCTACACATCCGCCGGATGCTGGGACTGCCCGATGGTCCAGCTACTCTCTGCATTATCTTGAGTGTGGACTATGTAAGGGCTACGGCCATAGAGCAATCTCCTGGGGTTCCAGCCAGGGACCAGTCCTGGACCCAGTTTGATCCGAGATTTCGCAACCCTAAAAATGGGGGCCGTGGGTGGAGTCTGGCAGGAACGTCAGGAGATGCGTATCCTAGGAGGAGGGGTGAATCCTGATCAGCTTCCTCCTGCCTGTTTGTCTGACCGGGCCTCTAAGGTCATCTGTTTTCCACCCTCTGCCTTAGTTCTTCCGCTTGTGTCCTAATTAGCTTGATCCAGTCCCCTTTGCCTTTTTCCCCTTGTGTATTTTATCTGTGGTGTTTTCCCTTGTTTCTCACTTGTGTTATTGAGTACTGGCTATTGTCTCCTGCTTTGTTCCAACCGTGTCTTTCCAAGTCGGTTTTCTAAGTTTATCTTTAAGTTTGTTTTCTCCCCTCGTGGAGTTATTTTGTTTTGCCTCCTGTTTTGTTTACATACCTCTTTCTGAGAAGAACATTTTGTTGGACGATTTGTTGATGGCGAAGAACCTTTGTTTTTATATTCAATCTACTGGCCTGAGTATTGCCTGGGGTGTTTTCATTTGTTCCTCCTACACCTCCTCTTGGGCTAAGGGGTATAACCCCCGCTCTCCACATCTTAGACCGAGTTCTCTAAGCACGGCTTGTGACAAAAATAGATCATGTCTCTTGGCTTTTTCTCTCAGTTTCAGTATCTGGAGTACCTGAACATTGACGGCAGTTTTGCTCAAATCCTTCCAACTGGGAATAGCCACCTTCCAAATCTGGAACACATGTACTTGATAGGTAAATGGGTAATGGGCTCTGGGTGCTGTGATTGTCATATTGGGCCTCATACATTCAGAGATCTAGTTAAGTTAAGTCATTTGTATATACAGGGTTACAGGTTAAGAGCAATGGCCCCAGATGTTTTCCATGGCATCCCTCAGTTACAAATATTCAGCATTGGTGAACCCTGTGAAGAGGATTTGTCAGAGATACTATGCAGAATAATGAATATAAAGTCACTTATAAAGATAAGTGTAAACGCACCAGTGATACAATCGTTAAACCAATCAAACTGCTCCAACAACAACCAAAACGTGACATCTGTTTTTAACAATCTAACAAGAGTTGACTTATTATTTGATGAAATAACACATATAGAGGAAGGTGCAATGGCTTGGCTCCAGAACCTGACAATTTTAAATGCGGCTTTCAGCCAGGAAGTCCTACTGCGCCTTCCCCTTTCTGGGATTAAGCAAATCCAGTACTTCAGTTGCTTTGGTAGCAATGACATTGATATTGAAAGTATCTGTAATGTCGTGTTTTTGCTTTCAATCAAGCAAATATATTTATACAATGCCAATACAAGCAGCCTCTCTATGTCCAGTGTTGAATTGTGCATTGGGCTAGTGTGGTAAACAAGACCGAGCTTTTGCTGGTAATGCCGTAGTGATAAGAAGATCCGCCGACACTGTACTCTGTTTATAAAGGTTTATTATAACAAAGGTTCCAGCATCGGAATTTGACAGATTCTGCAGATATCTGTGAGACAGCACAGCCAATCAGTAATTTGCTATTCTCCCCTTCTATTGTTCAAGACATGGTTTTATATCATTTATGACGTAATATGGTGTGATCCTAAAAACCAATCCCTGGTCTTTTCTACCTTACTCCCCATATCATCTTTCCATGAACCACAGTAATGTTTTCCAGATGTTTCCAGCACAATAGAGTACAGTTCATCCGTTACACCATTTTGCCACATCAGCAAAATCTTAGAGCCAAGTTCCCTCTATCACACATAAGACACTACACTAGAATATATGCATTTATCTGGACCAGGAGCCATCTATCCTACTCCCCATTTGAAATGGAATTTCATTTCCAGTCTCAAAAACCTTAATCAATTAAGAATAGATGGCCTGACAGATAACATACTTGATATTTGCTCCTGCCAAAAACAACCAATCACATGGTTAACAAAACTCACTTTAGAGTTGAACAATCCACAAATACTTTTTGCAAAACAATTTAGCTGTCTTGTTAAACTGCAGTACCTGGATTTAACACATAATTTTATTTCAAACATTGAAGACTTTGCTTTCCTGGGATTGACAAATCTGGAGTCCTTAAACATTACAAGAAATAACATAACACAGACCCATGCAAACCAATTTTTTGGTTTAAGTAGTTTGACACGTTTAGACCTCAGGAACAATCCACTTATTCACAACATTGAGGCAATGTCTTTCACACACCTCACGTCTCTAAAACAAGTGTTCCTCGGGCAAGTGCGCAATCCACTAACAGAACCGGTGATCAAGCTGAATCTGACACTTATATTTGGTGGCATTCTGAGTCAGCTGAGTCATCTGTACATTAGTTCAGCTATGAGGCCGATGCTGTTGACTATCGGCAGTAACATCACATCTAAACAGAACCTGAGTCTCCAGCTCAAAGGCCAGACGGTTTCATTTGAAGACTGTGACAGACCTTTCTTTCAGTCCGTAACCCATCTTAATACTGATGCTGAAGAATTCCTTTGTGGATCTGAATTCATGGGAAAGTACTTCACGTCTGTGGAGACATTTGACTACAGATCTAAGCTTTCAGCTAAAAGTGTTGATTTAACATCAATTAATCAGCTGATTCACCTGAGGAAACTGGCTCTAAGACGGGTGGATCTTTTAATACAGCGTTCTGCCAACATCATTTTTCACAACCTGACCAAACTGGAGGTTCTGGAACTTTACAACTGCAGGATTTATTCTTTGGAGGGGAGTTTAACTAAAGACTTAAAATCTTTGAAAACATTGTATTTGCATATCGAGAACATTTATAATGTATTCTACAGCTTTACTGAACCTCTCTCTAGCCTTAAGTATTTTATACTTTTTAAGTTTCAGATGTTTTGCAGTTGTGACAATGCTTGGCTCATTACATGGGCCAAGGGGTACAGGCAAGTTGAGGTGATCATGCTTTCTCCGTATTCACATCCAGTTATGTAGGCTCTGGAGGATTTGATATGCTTGTCGGACAACGGAATAGACACACCTAATTTTGTAAAGTACACAGAAGACAACTGCTCAACAGAGGTGGACTTTGTGCTCTTTGCTGCGACTGGTCTGGGAGTCCTGTTCTTCATGCTGGTGGTGTTGGTTCACAACCTGGCCGGCCCCTACCTCCTCCCCCTCTACCACATCACCCTTGGCTGGCTGTCGGAGGCCATGCGATCCAACACCAGGGGGCGCTACCACTACGATGCGTTTGTCTCCTACAGCGGGAAGGACGAACACTGGGTGGTGGAGGACCTGCTTCCCAATTTGGAGCAGAGGGGTCCTCCTTTCCTGCGCCTGTGTCTGCACAGCAGGGACTTCCAGCTGGGGAAGGACATTGTGGAGAACATCACAGACAGCCTCTACCAGAGCCGCCACACCCTCTGCCTAGTCAGCCGCCACTACCTGCGCAGTAACTGGTGCTCCCTGGAGATGAAGCTGGCCACCTCCAGGCTGCAGGTGGAGCAAAGGGACGTCATCCTCCTGGTCTTCCTGGAGAAGATCCCCCCTCGCCAGCTGTCTGCCCACCACAGGCTGGCTCGCCTGGTGAAGACCAGGACCTATCTGGACTGGCCCCAAGACCCCAATCAGCACCAGGCATTCTGGGACAGACTGTGGGCTAAACTGAAACCTCAGACTGAAGCGTGAGATCAGAGGTTGATGTAGGACCTTGTGAACTGAAGCATGACTTCAGAGGTTGATGTAGAATCTTTTGTTTATGCAGATGTAATGTTGACACATATTTTGAGGTATTGAATTTGTCTTTTAAAGTCCTCTGTACAAAATGTCTACCAGTATTTGATATTTGTTTAGACAATTGTGATGAAGTCCTTTTAAATGCTCTGTCTGGAGTGTAGTTTATCTGATTAATCTGAAATTACTTAGAAATGATCCTATTTAAATTACTTAGTAAAAAGCCAATACATTTTTTTACTTCCCCAAATGTTATCAGATCCTGTTTGTATTTTTCCCACACCTCATCGCTAACACATATCTTTGTTTGTATATTTGTTGCTAAAATGAAATGAAAAATGGTGTGATTTTGCCCTATTTATGATATATTTCAGATAACAATTACTGTATGCTCCTGTGAATGACAATACATGAATGACTAATGACCATGAAGCAGCTATTAATGGCAATACATGACTGACCACGAAGCAGTTATTTTTATTTCAACATTGATCAAAGAGTTTTGTACAGAACTGTAGTTGCTAGTTGTTTAACTTAATGTAGCTGCTAGTTGTTTAAATAAATGTAGTTGCTAGTTGTTCAACTACATGTGTTGCTAGTTGTCTAACTAAATGTGTTGCTAGTTGTTTAACTTAATGTAGATGCTAGTTGTTGAATTAAATGAATTTGCTAGTTGTTTAACTAAATGTAGTTGCTAGTTGTTTAACTGAATGTGTTGTTGGTTGTTTAACTAAATGTGTTTCTAGTTGTTTAACTTAATGTAGTTGCTAATTGTTGAATTAAATGAATTTGCTAGTTGTTTAACTAAATGTAATTGCTAGTTGTTTAACTGAATGTGTTGCTAGTTGTTGAACTAAATGTGGATGCTAGTTGTTTAACTAAATCTAATTGCTTGTTTCTTAACTAAATGTGTTGCTAGTTGTTTAACTAAATGTGTTGCTAGTTGTTTAACTACATATAGTTGCTAGTTGTTGAACTAAATGTAGTTGCTAGTTGTTTAACTAAATCTAGTTGCTTGTTTCTTAACAAAATGTGTTGCTAGTTGTTTAACTAAATGTGTTGCTAGTTGTTTAACTAAATGTAGTTGCTAGTTGTTGAATTAAATATAGTTGCTAGTTGTTTAACTAAATCTAGTTGCTTGTTTCTTAACAAAATGTGTTGCTAGTTGTTTAACAAAATGTGTTGCTAGTTGTTTAACTAAATGTGTTGCTAGTTGTTTAACTAAATGTGTTGCTAGTTGTTTATATAAATGTGTTGCTAGTTATTTAACTAAATGTGTTGCTAGTTGTTTAACTAAATGTGTTGCTAGTTGTTTGTATGAATGTGTTGCTAGTTGTTTAACTAAATGTGTTGCTAGTTGTTTAACTACATGGGTTGCTATTTGTTTAACTACATGGGTTGCTAGTTGTTTATATAAATGTGTTGCTAGTTGTTTAACTAAATATGTTGCTAGTTGTTTAACTACATGTGTTGCTAGTTGTTTAACTAAATGTGTTGCTAGTTGTTTATATAAATGTGTTGCTAGTTGTTTAACTAAATGTGTTGCTAATTGTTTAACTAAAGTGTTGCTAGTTGTTTAACTACATGGGTTGCTAGTTGTTTAACTAAATGTGTTGCTAGTTGTTTATCTACATTTTTTACTAGTTGTTTAACTTCATGTGTTGCTAGTTCTTTATATAAATGTGTTGCTAGTTGTTGAACTAAATGTGTTGGTAGTTGTTTAACTAAATGTGTTGCTAGTTGTTTATATAAATGTGTTGCTAGTCGTTTAACTAAATGTAGTTAATAGTTGTTTAACTACATGTGTTGCTAGTTGTTTAACTAAATGTGTTGCTAGTGGTTTAACAAAATGTGTTGCTAGTTGTTTAACTAAATGTGTTGCTAGTTGTTTAACTAAATGTGTTGCTAGTTGTTTAACTAAATGTGTTGCTAGTTGTTTAACTAAATGTGTTGCTAGTTGTTTAACTACATGGGTTGCTAGTTGTTTAACTACATGGGTTGCTAGTTGTTTAACTAAATGTGTTGCTAGTTGTTTATATAAATGTGTTGCTAGTTATTTAACTAAATGTAGTTACTAGTTGTTTAACTACATGGGTTGCTAGTTGTTTAACTACATGTGTTGCTAGTTGTTTATATAAATGTGTTGCTAGTTGTTTAACTAAATGTGTTGCTAGTTGTTTAACTACATGTGTTGCTAGTTGTTTATCTAAATGTAGTTGCTATTTGTTTAACTAAATGTAGTTGCTAGTTGTTTAACTAAATGTAGTTGCTAGTTGTTTAACTAAATGTGTTGCTAGTTGTTTAACTACATTTGCTGCTAGTTGTTTAATATAATGTGTTGCTAGTTGTTTAACTAAATGTAGTTGCTAGTTGTTTAACTAAATGTGTTGCTAGTTGTTTAACTAAATGTAGTTGCTAGTTGTTTAACTAAATGTGTTGCTAGTTGTTTAACTACATTTGCTGCTAGTTGTTTAATATAATGTGTTGCTAGTTGTTTAACTAAATGTAGTTGCTAGTATGTAGTTACTACTATTTTGTAATCTATATGGGACGGCTGTCAATCCTTTGGTCCTTAAGTGAAACTGATATACTTTTTTATTTATCACAGCTTTCCTTAACCAATTATGTTCTTTAATGCAAGGCCGGCAGACAAGTTCCTTATTTTCTCCCCCTTCCACTTTCCTCTTCCACTTTTGCGGTAAGGCTTCAATTATTTGTTTGTAATTTTGGGTAGAGCAGACATTTCCATATGTTTTTGTTAGCTGCATGTGCGACATAACTCCACCAGTCCTACCGATGATATCTGTCACGGTTCAGACAGACGACCAGAGGACCACAATTGCGTCACACCAGAAAGTTTATTAAAACTTAAGGGAAAAGGGAAGTAGGGAGTGAGTGAAGGCTCCAGGGGTTACTGGGAATAACAGGGATTCCGTCCAATGTGCTGGGTCTGTGCCCCCCCCAGTGGCAGCGATGCGTCCTATGACGCCGGTGGTGGGTGGTCCAGAAGTCCGGGATCGAAGAGTAGTCAGGAGTCGTTATGGCAGAAAGCAGGTCTGGTATTCCTGGGGCAGAAGAGTATCCAAGAATCAGGCAGGTCCGGGGTCACAAAACAAGGGTGAGCCAGAAGCGCGAGCAAACAGGTTCCGGGTGTGAGCTTTGCAGACGATCTGACAAAGGAGAGCTGAAAGACAGGGCTTTAAATACTGGGAGAGGTTAGTGGGTAATGCAGCGCAGCTGGCAGAGTAATTAGAGCAGAGCAGAGCAGGGACAGGTGGAGCTAGTTAGGCTGAGTAGAGAGAGTGGTGAGCAGAGTGGAAGATAGTGGAAACAAATTAAGGTGGTAACCCGGTGGAGTGAGAGGGCTCATGACAGAACCCCCCCCCCAAGGGACGGCCCCAGAAGTCCCAAGAGCAACACCACGCCGGGCGGGAGGAGGGGAGCCGGAGGAGGGCTAGAACTCCTCCGAACGGTCCGAGTGAACGTCCTCATCCTCGGAGGAAGCCGGAGGGCCGTGGTCGGGAGATGGGACAGGTCCCGAGACAGGATCAGGCACAGGACAGGAAGCCGAGCGGGCAGGACGGTTAGGGACCCCTCTGGGGCGGCCCCTACGGATTGCAGGTTGATCAGGATGCCGTTGGTGGAAGGCGGTGATGAGAGTCCTATCCACAATCCGACTAGCTGGCACCCAGGTCCTTTCCTCAGGTCCATAGCCCTCCCAGTCAATGAGGTACTGGAGACCCCTACCCCTCCGTCTGGACCGAAGCAGGCGGCGGACGGTGTAAACCAGACCACCATCGACGAGCTGTGGAGGAGGAGGACAAGGCGCAGCAGGGACCAGCGGACTCTCATGAATGGGCTTAATCTTAGACACATGGAAAGTGGGGTGCACCCTCATGGAATTAGGCAGTTGGAGCCGGACAGCAGTTGGGCTAATCACTCTTATGATAGGGAATGGGCCAATGAACCGAGGTGCCAGCTTTTGCGACTCCACCCTGAGTGGCAGGTTCTTTGATGACAACCACACCCTTTGACCAACCTGGTAGGTGGGAGCAGGAATTCTCCGACGGTTGGCCCCGGTAGTGTAGCTGGCAACGGATCTGAGGAGTGTGGCTCGGGCTTGTGACCAGGTGCGGCGACATCGACGGGCAAAAGCAAGTGCAGATGGGCAAGTAACCTCCCCTTCCTGGCTGGCAAATAGAGGAGGCTGGTATCCATAAACACATTGGAAAGGGGACATACCGATGGCAGAGCAGGTCAGAGAATTGTGTGCATACTCCACCCATGTCAATTGCTGCGACCAGGAGTGGGGGTTGCGTGAAGTCATGCATCGCAGTGCCTTCTCGAGCTCCTGATTTGCCCGCTCTGACTGCCCATTGGATTGGGGATGGAATCCGGAAGTCAGACTGACTGTGGCTCCCAGCAGGTGACAGAACTCCTTCCAAAAAGCGGAGGAGAATTGTGGACCACGGTCAGAAACTACATCCTTTGGCAGTCCGTGGATCCGGAAGACGTGTTCCAGGACCACCTGGGCGGTCTCCTTGGCGGTTGGGAGCTTGGGGAGGGGAATGAAGTGTGCCATCTTGCTGAATCGGTCAACTATGGTGAGAATGACGGTCATGCCACTTGAAGGGGGCAGCCCCGTGACAAAGTCAAGGGCGATGTGAGACCAGGGACGTCTGGGCACAGGCAGGGGCTGCAGCAATCCGGCTGGGGGCTGGCAGGACGACTTGTGTTGGTTGCAGATGGGGCAGGCTTGGACGAATTCCCGTACATCCTTTCTCAGAGAGGGCCACCAGAACCTCTGGGCGAGCAGGTTGTAAGTGCGGGTGGAGCCAGGGTGACAAGCTAGGCGGGAGTCATGTCCCCACTGAACGACCTGGGACCTCAGGTTTTCGGGGACAAAAAGGCGGTCAGCTGGGCAAGTGCTGGGACCTGGCTGGTTACGGAGAGCT